CAACTGTATTTCACTTGTCCTACTGCAGATGTGCAGAGCTGCCAAGCGTGTAATGTTCCTCGCATTTCATACATTTTCTTCAGCTGTGAAGGCTTAAGTCATCCACAATGACCTACGTTTTTTCATTATCCCCATGTCAAACTGCACTCGTGCCTGGGCATAAATTGTCCTTCTAGTTATATACTCACATGCCTGTGCTTTCACTTCCTCTTTGCAATGATATTTTACTCTCTGCCTGCTCTCTTCCCAGCCCTGCAGAGAGGTCTGCTGCTCTGTGCACGGCATTGTTTCCCAACGGCTGCAAACCAGCAACGATCCCACAGGGTGCAAACACCTCCCATTACACAGCCCCCAAACCAACACATCTTTAACCACATTGCACTGTGCAGACTGCAGCTTTGTCTCTATTTTCCATTGAACTCCTCGTACCTAAAACCAAACGGACCCATAGAACTGGATGATCCCCTCCAACCCAAACTGCTCTATCATGTGACGGCCAGCTGCCCATTTTCAGCACTCCCATTTGCTCAATAGTTAAGAGAACACCTGCAGATGGGAGCCAGGTGAAGGATTTTCTTGTTCAGCCTCAGCCACCCATGAGAATAGTGATTTTTTTCCTCCTGCTGCTTCTTTATAGCACCCTGGTACTTTAAGTGAAGTGTTAAACTCAGGAGCTGGTTTGACAGGATCCGCATGAATTTAATTATCAACCTGATCATGTGGTAAATGAGTTTAAATATGGCATCTCGAGGGCCAGACCCACACCCTCCTTACACACACATAGTGCTGATGCAGGGACACTAATGGGACCCATGTCCCCACAGCAACACTGCTCTGATTGCAGAACCAGGGGGAAAAAAATTAAAATCCAATTTGTGGCACGCTGATTAACTTTGCAGAACCTTTAATGAGCCTAACATTAAATTCAGGACAAAGGGGACTAATTAGATCCCCTCCAGCACCTGTGACCCTCTTCTGCACTGCTACCTGGTGCTCTGTGCCATGGAGGCAGAGCAGTGGATCCATTGGCACTGAGGATCAGTGCAAGGGTTTGGATTACAAACAACCAGCAGAGAAGACCCAGTGTTACTCACTCTCCAATACAACACCAACATCCCCTCTTTTCTACTACCCCTACCTGCCTAGCAGAAAGGGGGGCTGACAAGACCGGGATACGTTCAAGGGCTGCAGCCTTTGTGCTCTCCACAGTGATAAAGGACCCTGCAATTCCTGCTGTGCTCTCCCAGCTCTGGGATGCTGCCAGGCAGAGCTGGGCACCACATCACGAGCTCTCTGCAGACTCGGCACTGCGCTCCCACTCCGAGAATAACCACGAAGCACAACTAACTACTCATAAGGCTCCGAGGATCCTGGTTTATTTTTAAAGCCAAGAGCTAATAAACCATCAGGGGCTGGGGGCAGAACCCATGCAGAGTGACCCACAGCCCAGGTCACTGGATTACTTGCTATGAATAGCTGCTCCACTCAGCATTAATGGGATCATAAGCGCTGTGCGATTCTGGGTTTCCTGGTTGGGAGCATGGATGCAGGACAAACAGGCACTGGCGATGCAGACCTTCTCATGATGCTGCCCCAGCCCCCAAGCACCCAGCACATGTGTATGCAGGAAGCTGGTTAAAAAGAGGAAGGAAAAGAGATGCAAACAATCTGCATCTGCCTCCCCCCAGCAATCACACTGCTGCTGGAGCGCCAGCCCTGCGACTGGTGTGGGAAAAGATGGGAGAGGAGCATTCCCTCCACCCACCTGCAAACCATCCCCGCCTCCCCACCGCTGCAAAAAGCAATTTCAGTTGCTCTGATTCATAGCTGGGCTGCAAATTACAGGCCAGCTCTCCGCTGCGTGGAGCGGCACAATCCTGCTAATCACTGAGCTGGGTGAGGGTCAGCTCCCCAGCCTCGCCACATTGCTGCACGTGTTGGGTGCTGCAAGGCTCTGAATCCAAACTCATTGCCACGAGCGAGGGGAGAAGCAGCTCCTTCCTGGGGACAGAGGCACATAGGGACCATGGGAGGCCACCCCTCACCAGGAGCTTGAAAGGCTATTTCTCCATAGCAAAAAAAAAAATGCAGGTGAAAAGTCCTACAGTGTTGCTTGGTTTTCCCCAAACGCACCAGTCTCAGGTACTAAACCTGCTAGGGAACTTTCACTTTCTGGTTTGGAAGGGATGCACTCACACCTCTTTCCTACATACGATCAGCCAGAGAGGTCGGATCCCAGCCCCATCCCACCATATTCCTCAGTGCTACATCTCCATGTTTCTTGCACACCTGCAGGGATTGTGAGCCCACCACCTCAACAGGCATCTGTGCCCAAGCACTCTATGGGAGAAGAAATTTTTCCTAACATCCCACCTGAACCACCCCTGGGACAATACAAGGCAGTCTTATGTTCTAAGAGCTGCTGTTCCCTACACTGCAGTCCCACAGCCACAATCACATAACGGAGACTCGCAGCAGGAGCAAAGCACAGGAGGACAGGGCCAACATCAGGCAGGTGGTTTGAGGACACCGAGTAACACGGTCAAATCCGTGGTTTCATACCCCAGCTCTCCTCTAACCCAAAAGCACCTCGGTGGGTGTGCAATGTAAATACCATATACACGTAGCCCAGGTCACTGTAATCCCATTAGAGCCGAGCACCAGCTGATTATGTGCATCTACTGCATTTAAGCCGATGAAGCGGGGTAAGATCGCACATCCCCTAAGAAGGTCACATGTCACATTATACCGGATCAACTTATTACACACAGCACTTCCCCCCACCCCCTTTGTTTTCTCGTTCTTCTTTTTAAACTCAAGCAACCTCGGTTATGGATAACAGTTGCCTCCATATTTTTAAGATTAAAAAGATGATAAAGTGCCTTTTAGCAAGGAACATCTTTGTCCCAGCCCTCCTTGCAGCTAGAGCTCCAGCAAAGAATGCTCCTCCAGCTCCACCCATGGCTCAGCATCAGCTGGTGACTGCCACCAAGCTGCCAGTCCCAAGCTCTCCTGCACAGAGTTCAGAACCCAGATGGGGGCTCCATGGGCAGCATCAGGACCTCCCACCCCACGGCACAGGACTGCTCTCAGTGGCCTTGGCTGTACCTGTGTGGGAACGCAGGTGCCTCTTGAGGGCAGTGTGGCTGGGGAAGGTGCGGTTGCACTCGCTGCAGATGTAGCTGCGCACCCCGGCGTGCACCTCCATGTGCTGCTGCAGGGCAGTCTGCGTCTGGAAGCGCTTGCCGCAGAGCAGGCAGAAGACAGCCATGTCTGTACCTGCAGGAGAGGAGACAGAAAAGTGAGGAAGTGTCTGGGGGTCTCCCAAGGGTGGTTGTGAGGAAGGGGACTGCGAGCCCCAGTGACCGCTCACAGTTTCCAGCTCTCTTGTTACAGACAGCAGCCCGCTTTCCGCACCTGCCCCGTTTGCCTGTGTGCTCAGCTGCACACACAGCATCCCTGGACAGGAAGAACTCCTGAACAGGGCACAGACCCACAGCCCTCACTCCTAGGGGGCAGCAGCAGGGCTGGCACTGGGACTGCAGCAATTCCAACCCTTCAGCATAGAGAAGAAGTGCAAGAAGAGAGCAGAAGGATTTTATTGCCTTGGGTGCAGCTGGAAATCCCTTGTAGGCTTGCATCTCCACGCCCCCAACCCAAATGCGAAGCACCTGCTTGGATAATTCCCCATGTTGGGATGGGCTGCATGCACCTGTGTGAGACACAGCCCCTGATGCCAGGTGGAAACAGGACCCAAAGAAATGACAGTTGGATGCCTGAGCACCATGCAAAGCTGCTCTGGGTAGCAGTGGGCTGAACACAGGAGGACCACGTGCACACCCTCAGCACTGTTTGTGACCCTCAGTGGTAATACCACCAGAAGCTTAATCCTATGAGCCACATGCACAATTATAAAATTGGCTGCATCAACAGAAGAGTACATAAAAAAGAAACACCAGCACAAAAATAGAGATACTTACACACAGTCAATAAAAATATAAGACCTTTGTGTTATTAAACAGTTTGTTTTAGTTTATGCATAGCTGATTGTTCAGAACCTATGAGTCAGTGCAAATTGTATTACGCTGGGAGATTAAGCAAATAAATGCTAGCTTTTTTGGAGACATTAAAATGTGAGGACTATGGAAATAAAATTATCTAGAAAATTGTATTAGCAATTCATTAGCGGCAGCAAGATGTTCAAGGTAACCAACAAACACCTGTAAGAAACAGTAGGGAAAGGGAGGGCTGCTCTTTGCAGTGCCAAAATTAACCTGAGGGGTGGTGAGGACCAAAGCCACTGCACACAGGGGTGCTGGAGGAGCTCTGGGCACTGTGTGCCACTGGCACCCGCAGTGCTGTGGATGGATCCCTGGCTGCAGCATCACCCTGCTGAGCACAGGGGATGGGTCCAGGCTCCGTGCTAGTGGCAAAATGCACCAAAAGTAGTGCAGAGATCCTGCACAGCCCAAGGAGCAGGAGTGCACGAGCACCGGCCGTGCTCCTCCGTGGGCAGGTTCCACATGCCCTTGTGTGCAGCGAGTTGGCTCGGTGCCGGCCGTCCCCTTGGTGAGCTGTGCACCGTGCGAGCGAGTGAGGCTGAGAATATGAAAATAAATGAGCAAAACAGAAATAAAACCACACAGCAGCGAGGTGGCCCCGGTGGCGATGCTGCTGCCTCCCTCCCCGTGGATTTATCCGGGGGACGCGCGCTTGCTCACAGCTGCAGACAAAACTCTCCCAAGAGCCCTGGAGACACAAAGCCCATCCGAGCGGGTGGTGCGGAGCAAATCCTGCACGGTATGCAGCCCGGCCGCGCTCTCACGGTGACAGCAGGACGGGTCAGAGGTCGGCGGGGCCGAGCCCCTGTGCCGCAGCCAGCTGTGCCGCGGGGGCCCCGGCCGGCGGGACGCCAGCCCCCATCAATCCGCCGGGAGCAGCCCTGCTGGGGCCGGGGACAATGGGCTCCTGCGGGGGTGGGGGCAGGACAATGCGGCCGGGCCAGTGCGCAGGCCCGGAACAAATCCTCCCTGGCACCATAGGGCCCTCATTTGTGAAACTAATTGGCCCCCGCTTGAAAAATTGGGATATGTTGGGCCGCCGTGCTGGAGAGGAGCTGCCTTGTGTGGGGAGCCCCGCTATCCAGTGGGATGTGGCTGCAGGGCTGGGGATGGTTGGATGGGGATGGGTGGCCAAGGATAAGGTGACGTGGATGAGGATAGGTGGCCAAGGACAAGGTGACAGGGATGGGGATGAGTGGCAGGGGACAAGCTGCAGCCCGCATCCCATTGCGTGCCCAACTGTGCTGGGATGGGGAGACGTGGGGTTTGCAGCCTGGTGACACAGCAGTGCAGCTCCGCAGCCACCACGCGCTGCACCATCACACAGCAGGTGGGCACCGTCCCACTGCTCCAGGCACCTCCAAGCGGGATGCGCAAGCGGAGCCCACCACTCAACCATACCCACCTCCAAAAGCACAGCTGGCAAGGCACAGGACCTGCTGGCAGGAGAAAAAGGGGTGATGCTGGAAAAGCCCCACCTCCCCACGGCGGCACCCCGTTGGCTTTGGAACCGTGGGGACGTTTCAATGCGTGGCCATTGAAAGAAAAATCACCCCGGATAAATAAACACCGCCGCCGCCGCCACGTAGGCACAAAAAGAGGAAGACGGATTTATTCATTTCGCTGACGTTTTAATGGTTTCTCTCCTTTTTTTCGGGAAGATGATTACAAATTAAGCAGCATTTAAACGCTTTTTACTGTCAACAATTAAAAGGGGCGAATATGGAACAGAAAGTGCGGTGACCATTCATTTCCAGGGAAACGCGGCTATCAGCGAACACCACGGGGCCTTCCCTGTACTGTACACTGCACAATGGCAAAAAGTATACCATTAATTTTGTAGGACATTCAAAAGCAAATTAAAATATAAAAAGCTCTAGGCACAAAGATAGATACCAAGAGAGAGGGCAGAATAGGTCAAGCTTGTGGAATTAAAGTCTTAGCAACAGTGGAGGTTTAAGCACAGCCCTATTACGCCGCATTCAATAGCCACCTTCTCCCATCTTCTCTTTTTTCTCCTCTCAGAGCCGATGTGCTGTTTGCCTCCAGCCTGCAGCAGTAAACAATTAATACCGCGTGTAGCAGTGCTGCGGGTTTCCAAGGCAGGAGCGACAGGCTGCCATGTAGATGAGATCCTGGATGCAGCATTAACTATTTGGAAGAGAGCGCCGCCCGCTCTGTGCGAGGCAGGTTTAAATAACAGGTGATGGGAGATGTGATTTTTGCAGGATTGATGCTTGCTTAAGGGAGGAAAAGCCCTGAGAGCGCAGCTGTGCGTGTGGATCTCTACGCTTTGCTTTCCAGGCTCCCCCCAAAAGTGCTTTTCCCCGTGTCTTTAAAGGCAAGGGAGATGCATTTCCCATCACTCAGGGACTCCCCTTTTCAAACTTCAGGTGAGGAATGCTAAAATCACCACAGCACTGAACACAACACTTCTTCCATGCTCTGACTCCACACTAGAAGGAATTAAAACGAAATTCGCTCCGAGACACGTAGGCATATGGCAAGGAACACAGGTTTGCTTTTCCTCTTATTTTTAAAAGGCGCCCGGTGCATTTCCGTACCACAAAGTTTAACATGCAGGAGGTTCGCCGAAGAAATAAAAGAGACACGTCCCCTTTAAAAGGAAATATAATTTACAGTGTGCAGCCAGGCGGTCCATAGTTTCAATCTCGTTTACTATAGAGAAAACTCTGCTAGCTGTTCTCTATCCCACAAATCCGATTTAATCAGACAAGCCAGCCAGCGTGGCTTGAAGTAAAAACGGATAATTAGTAAACAGAGAGCTACTTCAGTGCTTCATTGGCATTCGAGCCGGGCTAGTGTGTCGCATTTAAAATGCAGTCTGATGAAGTTTACAAAATCAAACCATTTGTTACTCCTATTGAAGAGGCTTCAGGCCACTTGCAATTAAATTGGAATTAGTGCTCAGAATGAGATACAGCAAATTCATACTAAAAAGGGATCTGACTTTGAGACGTTTGACTTCAAGTTTTCCCCTCTGCGTGTGTGTGCGTGTGCAAGAGATGTGGCTGCTCCGTCCCGGCCCTCGCCTCCAGCTCTTGCAGCCCCAGCACTGGGACCCGGGTGCAGGAAGGTGCCCCAGGGTTTGGTGCCAATGAAACTTGGGCACTTATGAGCACCTGGAGAAGGCACCAGGACTGCAGAATATTCCTGCTACGCCCTATGAAACACCCATTGCATTTTTGTTGCTTCTGGTGGCTGGCTGTTCTGTCTGTCCATCACCATAATAATTAATATCATTATAAATCTTTTATCAAAGGCTCTGGCACAACAGTGGGTGCAAACGCACAGTGTAGGCTACCAGCAGGGCAAGGCGTTGCCTGCTGCCTTCATGGTAACACCTCCAGCATTCCCACAGCCAGCCCCAAAACATTCCCACATTGCAGAGCATCCCCACAGCCAGCCCCAAAACATCCCACACTGAACAACATCAGCACAATGACATCAGCATTAGCTGTGAGCTACGCAACTAAAAGATGCATTTATATACATCCACGTGCACACATACACCCCGCATGCACACAAATCCCAGCTGGTCAGTGCCTCCAACAAAACAGTCTTCACTTACTCTTCATACTGAATGTCTTAAACTATGTGCATGCAATAGAGGCATGCAACAAAATTGTTGTTGCAATCGCTAAGAGTGAAGTGGAAGGCTCCAAAAATTCTTGGTACGCCAAACAAGAGTCCAGGGATTGTTGGCTCTTGCTAGATTAGATTTCAGAGATGTTTGGAATTTTTTTGTCACTGTGTCAATGGCTTCTTCACAGCCACTGGCTGCTGGACAATGCAGAGAACGCTGGAGTTTGACTGCACGGAAGCAGGGGGAGTTTTTATCAGCCTTGGTATCAGGGTGCCATGGGTAACCTTCATCCCCAATGGGCTTTGACTCACGTTGGCCAAGAGCAGATGTTCTAGCAGAAGTGAGGTGGACAAGTGATCATAAAATCATAGAAGTTTGGAAAACAATAAGGTTGGAAAAGATCTCCCAGATCACCAAGTCCAACCCCAACCCATCCCCACCATGCACACATGTCCCCACGTGCCACATCTCCACATTTCCTGAACACCTCCAGCACGGTGACTCCCCCACTTCCCTGGGCAGCTGTTTTCTGAGAAGAAATTTTTTCTAACATTCAATGATTTTCCCTGATGATCAACCACTGCTCAGAACAGCATTAAGGGACAGGACTGAAAGCTATCAGAGCAGAGGGACTTGGGCACATACTTCAGACCTCTTAGGCAGTGGGATCTCCAGGGATGTGCTGGAGGAGGGGACACTGCAGTGCACATCCTGTTGGGATGAGGAAGAGGAGGAGGAGAAGGGGGGAAGGTGAGGCAGACATTGCTGGCCAAGGCAGCGGCGTGCTGCGATTGTGCTTTGCCCCACCAGTGTCAGACATGAGCTTCTGGAGTAAGGAGATTAACCTAGTTTTGGTAACCCTTTTCCTGATTATGAAAGGAAAAACGGCATTAGTAGTTGGCAGCACCAAAGAAAGCTCATACAGAAAAGCCCCACGATGACAGCTCTGTCCTGGAAACCGCTTCCTACATACAGAATGCACTGCACACACAGATACATGCACTGTGTACGATGCTGCACCAGCACTTGGCAAACCCATCATGCCCTCCTCACAGCCCTTCTGCAGGAAACAAAAGCATTGCCATCCAGGAAATGGAAACCAGAGACGTCCACCTGGCTGCCCCACAGACAGAGAGGGGAAAACCCATGCAGAAAAAGAAATGAGACACTCATTTTGTGCTGGAATCACCAAATCATCCCAGTTTCAACTGCTGCCTCTGGACTCCACAACTGAGCTTTCATGCTAATTAACATCTTTATGGAAGGCAAACTCTCTCAAGGGGGTATTTGTTTGATTATTATTATTTACTCAGAGATACTACAGCTTTCTTCCCATGTTTAACTGACTGCAAAAATTCATTCTTACAAAGCAGCACAGGCAGCTGCCTCCTGTGCCGCCCGCTTCCTCTGCAGGTTGGGTGGCAGAGAGGGATGCCCTGGCATGGAGGATGGGGATGCTGCTTTACAAGAGCACGTGCACACATCCTCTCTTCTTTTAACCAGCACTGGTTTATCAGACCTGGAGAAGCTCAGATATTTAAGAGCACGTGCATACGAAAGGATACTGTAAATAGAAAGGTGAAGCACCAACGTGAATTTCATGGCATCACAGAACATCCCTGAGTCAGAAGGGAGCCATGGGGATTGGGCAAAACGGGCACCGCAGGCTGAGCCTGAAACCTGGAAGGGAAACAGTGCCCAAAGAGGAGGAAGAAGAAGATTCCCCAAAAGCAGAGGGGCGGCACAAAAAGCAAAGCGGGCAGCGGCCGCGCGGTGACGTCTTTGTCGGTGCCGCTCTCGCAGCCGGTGAGCGCCGAACAAACGCTGCTGCCCGGGAAGCTCGCGCCCGCCGGAGGTGATTTATTCCGAGGGCCATCTGGACAGGGGAACAATGTGGTCCCATATCTGAATGACCCGGCGCATTAGTCACACCCTCCTCGCTCGACCTCTCCGTCCCTAATCTTCACACTTGCTCTCATTCTCCTTTAGTGAGGCAAAATGACCGGATCCGCTTCTCACCTCTCTTTTGGCTGGCGAAGTTCACAGGGCTGGGGGAGACAAAAGGCCCCGCGCCTCGCTGCGTGCCAGGGCTCCCACCCCATGTCCATGGGGTCCAGCATCACCCCGTGTCTGTGCTGAGCACCGGGGCACCTTGGGACCGCACAATCCCCACTTCTCAGCCCTTCGTTCCCCATCAGGAAGGCCTACACCAGCCCCCCTCTCTCCCCTGCCAGCCTTCATCCTCCTCCTCAGTTTACCTCTTTATTATACTTTTCTGCCATCGCTCTACCAAGAATTATTACATAGCAGGAAAAAAAAAAAAAACCAAGCAAACATCAAGTGACTATTAGCAGTGGTAGCTTTATTGCAACAGGCGCAGAACTCATTCGTTTCATGTTTTGCGGAATATAAAAGCACTGAAACATTTTAATTTTAAATTCTTATCATTGAATTTACTGCTTTTCTCTCGCAATGATTTGTGTTGCTTTTTAATTTTTACAGTCTCTACAGAAGCCAGATGCTACCGCCTAGGGCCAAAATAATAAAAACCTACTGCAGTCATGAGTTACAGAACAAAAAAGAAACACACAGTTGACAGAAGTTAATATCTCAATTTAACAGTGCTGCTTTGCTAATGATCCTTTGATATGTGTTTATTTAGAAAGGTCTGATCTTGACCTTGAAAGCAAACTAAACCACAAAGTCTTTATGAGACGAGAGAAAGACTTTATTTATAGAATGGCTTTATGTCAATCAGGGCGGCAGCTGGACTCGAGGTGAAAAATTGCTCAGAAGTGAGCGGGTTCGTACCCAAAGTGTTGGTTGCAGTGCGTGTATCTGGGAGGGGGGAACTCATTCCAGATGAGGACTGTGGCACAATGCACTCCCCAAGTCAAGACACAAAGCCCACAGAGTGGTGCAGCCTGCCGACTGCGCACCGCATCCACCAGGAGCGCTGGCACCGCCGGGACAGGTTTTCCTCCCCAGGAAATCCAGGATTGCACAAAGCTTGTGTTTTGAAATGAAAATAAGAATGGCTTCTTTACGGGACAATTACATTTTACTGCGATTCTATGCCGAGATTTCCCAGCTCCTATTGCTGCGCGAGGCTGGGAGCACACTGGGGAGATCTCACACCAGCGGTGCTCTGTGTGTTCAATTCTAATTCTATGTCTGAGGTCAAACAGTGATTTGAAGACATTTACCAACGCTGAGCCTTCAGCACTGCCTCCTTGTCTTCGCAAAGCCTTGGTGCCAAGGCCCTTCTTATCAAGTCTGTATCCGTGCCATTCAGGTGGCCAAAAACTGAGCGCATCAAAGGAGCCAACCTCCACTTTTCAGCACTGAATGCACTCACTAGGCACTGTGGTACCAGTTAGCTTACAGTCACCAAAGGAACTGTGATAAGAGGAATATAAGCTGCTCCACAGAGACCGGATGGAAGGGCACGAGATGGTGATGTTTCCGTCCTTCTGATGCTAAACAATGCAAATTCGGGACTGAGGCAGTTACAAAAGACCTCTTTGCATGTTGACTAGAGAAATAAATGCTGCTGTAGAGTCCCATCTGGCCCAGCAGCTGAATGGGGAAAGCTCAGTGAGACAAACGGGTCTGAATTTAGACACAGGCAAGAGACAGCAAAGATATTTCAGCCTTAAACCAGGTATGAAAGATAGCAAGCACAGCCGTAGACAAAGCCTAGGGAAACTCTGCCCTGGCACAAGCTTGGGCTGCCCAATTCCTGGCCCATATTTCCCAGGGAAAGAAGTTTCACTTGATGGAGGCACACCCACCTGTGCTCAGCATCACCCTTGGAGCAGGCATTTCCCCACTGAAGGAGCACTGTCGTGGTGTTTTCTGCCACCACATCGCTGGGGAAGCTGTCATCTCACTGCTTACTCATCGCCACCACTAAGGCTGCCTGCATTTCTCTTTCCCAAAAGGAATTTCAAATGGAACCAGCTGAAAAAATAACTTGATTGGCTGCCGAAAACACATTTTTCCCATTGCTTGCTGAATGATGGTTCAATTAATTTGTTCAAAACCACTCAGAGGTCTCCATCCTTACACAAAGAGCCTCAAGGAGGAGACGAAATCCTCACCAGTTAAATGCTGGCCCCTGGTGTCTTTCTGGCTGGAGAATCTCTACCTCAAGCATTTTCCAGCTGGAAGCTGTATTTCCACAATTTTCACTCTTTTTCCCCTCATTCCTGCTGGAAATGTGTCTTAACTCAGTGACAGCACTCCCATCCCACCCAGTGGCACAGAGCATCCCCCATACATTTCCATGGTACAAGTTGCATTTGTCTGGGTTGTCAGTGAGGGGCAGCGAGGAAACACGGGGCAGCCCTGGTTGCCAAACCAGCAAGTAAAATTGTCCTTAGGATGCTGTACAGAGGGCTGCTGAGAGACACAAAGCAACATTTCCTAACATCCGCTTTTTATTCCAGAAGCTCCATTATTTAAAATAAAAAAAAAAAGAAAAGAGATGAAAAAGATCTCGCAGCCAACTCATGAAGATGTGAAAGTATAACGGAGAGAAACATCTCCACTTTCTTCACGTTTTTATATTTTTTTAAGTGGGGAGGAACAAGGATCCCAGGACACAAAAGTAACTGGTAAGGTAAGTTAAACCTTGTCAAGATGAACTTTCCTGCTACTTTTAATTAAAAGTTCTTTAGAATTAAAAAGGACACTATTCAGAAAAGACTGAAAAAAAAAATTCATTGACACCAGCCCGCCCCCCTCCCCTTTTTCCCAAGGAAAAGAAAAAGCTGTTTTTGTGTGTCTGCTCACCCAGCCCTCACTGTACAAAAGGAAGCGGATTTGCAGCAAGACACATGAGATGACCCTTTGACCCTAAACTGCTGAAAAGTCCTCAATGGCATAAATACCAGATAATCAATCACATACCAGGAGGGCTGGTCCCCCTGCCCTTACCCCAGTGGCCGAGTTTATGAGAGATGCACTGTAAATGGACACCAGCTTTTTAAGGGAGGCCCCTCTCTGCATTCCTCCACGGAGCCGGAATATTTTCCTCGGGCCGGGAGACCCTGGCCACCTAGTTTTACACATTTCATCACTATCTGATGCAGCCCCACAGTGCTCCTCGCCGGCACATCCGGCAGCACCAGCACTGCGGCCTCTCCCTGTATGGAGGGGATGAAAAATGTTCATCCCAAATGGATGGGATGCACAGTGCTCATCCTGTATGGAGGTGCTACAAAATGTTCGTCCCACACGGAGGCAACGCAAAATGCTCACTCCAAAAGGAGGGGATGCAAAATGCTCACCTCGTATGAAACTGATGCAAAATGCTCACTGCAAATG